GTCGTCGTGTTAAAGCCGCCACCCCGACACGGCCACTTGTAAGGTTGTCGCGTGAAACAAAACACGCCAATTCGTTACGAGGTCAGCACACCAGTGTGTTGGAGATAAACCCACGACAACATTTACAACTTGAGCACGTGCTAAACTGAAAGTCACAAAGATGCACCCCCCCCTGTATAGCCTCAACGTACTTATGGGGCAAGTGCAATTAGAGAGGAATCACCTAGCAGACGACATCAGAGATCGGCCAGGAAGACGTGGCGCTAACATGAGCCTATTGGCACTGCAAGGCACGAGAGAAAAGTCATTAAATGACGATATCTGCAGTGGAGACACCTACGGGGGCGATCTGCACCATGGATCGTGATGATGAAGAAGACGCCTCGCACGGTGCACGGAGTGGGTGGCGTCGCGAGCACCACGCCCGGCCGCCTTTGTCACCCCAGTGCTGACGTTTTACACGCTGCACCAGGTTACTCACGGCTGAGTCTACCTAGGGGAGGCCCGGAACCAGTTTCGATGTCACTCGCTGCTGAATGTTAACCGTGGCCGGGGAAATCGGAACCCTGCTGCCATGGCATCGTGGCGCAATGTTCCAGCCACTTGCTGCTAAGGCTACCCGGGGGGCTTTGTCTTGCGTTCTCACCTGGTGATGATGCGACCTCGTGACTCCCATGTGGATGTACGGGGCCACGCGGTGCCCGTCCAGACCCGGCCTCAACATCACGCCTACAACACCAACAACACGATCACCATCATCAACACCACCACCACCATCATAATGGTGGCCATCAATGCATCACTACCATCATCGTCTATAACAGCGTGGTCTCCACGTCTCTGTCACCCCGAGTTTCTCTCTGTCCAGGTGTTTGTCTCCATATCTCCTAGTCTCCCTCTGTCCGTGTCTCCACGTCTCTGTATCTCCCGTGTCTCCACGTCTCTGTGTTTGCCCGCCCTCTGTGTGTCCCAGCGTCTCTGCGTCTCCCTGCCTTCGTGTCTCCCGTGTCGTCCGTCTCTGCGTCTCCCTGCCCCTCTAGCTCGTCGGTGTCTCTGCAGCCTCACCTCTCCGCGTCTGCATCTCCTGTTTCCTGCACTTCGCGCGCCTGTTCTGGAACCAAACCTGAAAGTTGCGGGCAGCGAGACGCGGTGAAGCGATACGGCTGACTGGCAAGAGAGCGGCAAAAACACAAACAAGGCAACCACCCTGGGTAGCCCGGGGCGTTTCTGTGCAGGGCCGCCACAGTGGCTAGGAGATGTTAACGAGCTCGCCTGGGATACGGGAGGTCGTGGGTTCAACACCGACCCTGCCGCCCGCTGTATGTGTGGATTCTAGATTTTAAGCTTTCGTGACTGCAAGGATTCATATTCTTAGGTTTTTTCGGTAAAGTAACGTAGGTAAAAAATATGAAAATTAATAAAAGTAAAATAAAATAAATAAAAATCACGACGTTTCGGAGGCAACACAAGCTTCCGTCTTCAGGTGGAACCGTCACAGCACGATAGCTGTATCAAGTGAGAGAAATTCCAAGAAAACAGTCCTTGTATATATATACTGGTTGAGGGTGGGAGGAGCCAAGGTAGGCCCTGAATATTTTTTTTACCTACGTGACTTTCCCGAAAAAACCGAAGAATATGTATGTGTGGAGATTGCGGTGTCTCTCCCCATGGTGGTCGCGTGGATTTTTCACCGGGTCCTCCCGGTTTTCCCCACTCCACATTTAGAATTAACATCACGCGTTTAGAGTGATTTGGCTGCGATAAATTTCCACGCATTAAGCCGCTTCGTTGAGCTATCATTTGTGGCCAGGTCGCTTCTGAAAAAAGAGCTGCATCGCTCGGTGTACCTGGTGAAATAAAAAAATGCTTTAGTTTGAGTTTTTCCTGCATCGCTTAGGATATTTTAACCGATTAAAAATAAGCACACAATGTCTCTTTTCCCATGTCTGTCTTCCAATTTTTCTTGGGCTGCATAATTTCAGCAGAAGCAGAATTGATGCAGTACAAGCACAATTCTGGACCGGTTTTGACATCCAGTGACTCATTAGCAGAGTCAGGCTTGCTTGAATCAAATTCGTATTCATTTTTATTCGCTAGGGAATGCCCACTGAGCTATATAGCTCGTTTTCATAAGGGACCTGGCCACAAATGATAGCTTAACGAAGTGGCTTTTATGGAAATGTACAGCAGCCAATTACTCGAAACGAATGTTTCTAAATGTGGAGGGAAAATTCCGGAGGACTCGGATAACAATCCACGTGGAGAGAGACACGCAAACTCCAAATACACAGCAGCAGGCGTCAGGGTCGGGGTCGAACCCACAACCTCCTGTATACCAGGTGAGGTAGTTAACATCTCATAGCCACCGTGATGATCATGATTAGAGAGACACGCAAACTCCAAATACAGCAGCAGGCGTCAGGGTCGGGGTCGAACCCACGACCTCCTGTATACCAGGCGAGGTAGTTAACATCTCCTAGCCACCGTGATGATGATGAGAGAGAGAGAGAGACACGCAAACTCCTAATATACAGCAGGCGTCATAGTCGGGATCGAACCCACGACCTCCTGTACACCAGGCGAGGTAGTTAACATCTCCTAGCTACCGTGGCGCCCAAAGATCCCCTTATAGCCTTAACAGACTGTTGGGGCAAGTGCTGTTAGCGAGCACCCATGAAGGCCGGCACGGCGCAAGACGGAAGGAGGAGGATGGTGGCCAACTCTATGCTCGGCCGCCTTTGTCTCCCCAATGTTGATATTGACGCACCAGGTGCTCAGTTGAGGCCGAATAGACATAGGGGAGGCTGAGGACCGGGTCAAGATATTCGCCACTATTGTGTTGTTGAGTCGTGAGTGGGAATCGGACTCGGGTAGCGCAGTGCGTTAGCCACCGCGTTACCGTGTACACCACCACCACCACCACGCTACCGTGTACACCACCACCACCACCTATTGTGTACATCCCACCACCATCCCACCACCACCACACCACACACCATGTACGCCACCACCACTACCATGTACACCACCACAACCACACTACCGTGTACACCACCACACTACCACACTACCGTTTAGACCACCACCACCACCACACTACCGTGTACACCACCACCACTACCACACTACCATGTACACCACCACCACCACACTACCATGTACACCACCACCACACTACCATGTACACCACCACCACCACACTACCATGTACACCACCACCACCACCACACTACCATGTACACCACCACCACACTACCATGTACACCACCACCACCACGCTACCGTGTACACCACAGCCCCCCCCCCCCCCCCCCCCCGGGGCACGCTCATTGTTCTTTCGTCCCCCACGCTTCACGTGTGCGGCACCAGCTGCGGCTGTTGTCATTACTTCATGTCTACAGCTGCGGCTGTCATCGGGGTTACGACTGGGGCGTGTGGGACATCTTCCCTTACTGGGGAGAAGCTGAATTGGACTCTCAGTCGATATTAAAAGCTTGATCGCACCGAGACTGCGCGCATTGACTGTGTGCTCAGAGCTGCTTTGTATGTGGAACTTCTTTCGCACCGTACGTACCCGACTGTGCTCATCGAAGGTGCGCGGAGAACGACAACAAACTAAACACAAAAAAGCAGTCCTACAAAACATGAGTTTTCAATCTAGATTTAAAAGTGGCTTCCTCATATGGAAAACAAGAGCACTCCAGACGGCCGCAGAAGCGCGCATCTGAAAGCGCGCGATGCGGCGAAATCGGTAACATCGTGCAAATGTTCGTTCTCATTTGGGATTAAACATCGTAACGATCGCCCCCCGACTGCAAACACTTGGCAGGACCCTCCTGAAAAATAGTCATGGGGCTCGGTGATGGTTTCTTGGATAAACAAGCGAAATCATAACAACAACGGTGCAATTATAAAGTGGCCTTCACACGCCATTTTCAGATTTCTGGCGACTGCCTGATGATGCGAGGCGTAGCTACCAACGAAACGTCGTGCCAAATGCGTGCGGATCGCTCTCCAGCACCACCCGGCTGCTGTTGCTTACGTGGCAACTTTACGAATTGGCCGTGTCGGGTGGAGGAGGGTTTACGACGCATTTTACTAAAGCGATCTGACACCGCCCCCCCCCCCCCAAAAAAAAAAAACTATCATCTGTCGTGGTCTTCCCAGGTCTAAACTATCGCCCTCTATCTTCTTGGCTCTTTCGGTAAAGTCACGTAGAAGGGAAATAATACAATAATAAATAAAACAAAATAAAATACAAAAAAAATATCGTCCTCTAGTAGCCGATTAGTGCCGCTAAGATGTTCGCAGCGAGGAATACAACATTGTAACACTGCGTTCCGGGGGCCTTTATAAGTTTGTGGGCTGCTGCGCTCTGCCGCGGGGCCCTGTTGACATGAAGTCGCGGGTCGGAGCCCACGAGGGGAGAGGGAGGGGGGCTTACGGCTCCACCACCACCCGCACCCTCGCCAGTAGCAGCAGCTGTAGCTGTAGCTGCGGCTGCGGCCGTGGCCGTGCCTGCGGTACCTGGACGCGCGTCTCGGGCAGGTGGAGGCGCGCGCTGAGCGCGAGGCGCGCGCCCCCGTCGGGGTAGTGTGACTCGTCGAAGGCGCGCTCCAGCTGCTGCAGCTGCTCCGCAGAGAAGCTCGTTCGGCAACGACGTGAGCGACGCAGCCCTGACCCTCCTTCTCCTCCTCCTCCTCCTGCTGCTGCCACAAATAGACCGCAATACCTCGCTGCTGCTGAGCTCGTCAAGGTGCATAAACCATCATCGCGCGAACTCCGCTCATGCTCCCGGCTTTTGGCTCGCCGTTGAACAAAGTGCGGCGGTCACCGCTCTCAGATGCGATTTTGCGGCCGTCTGGAACCCTCTCGCTTGCGATATTAGGAAGCCACTGGAGCTACGCACGAACACATTTATTTTGGACCGCTTTTTGTGTTTAGGTTGTTGTCCTTCCCCCGCACCTCCGATTAGCACGGTCGGCTACGTACGGTGTGAAAGAAGCTCAACATACATACATACGTACGTGATTCTGATGATGTTGTTGTTGATCCCACTGTTACCCGTGGCCCCATTCGTCTTTCCGCCGCTGCTGCTGCTGGAGACGATGATGCTGCTGCTGCTATTCTTGACCGTACTCTTGTCCGTGGCCCCAATCCTGCTGCTGCTGATGATGATGTTGCTGCTGCTGATGATGATGTTGCTGCCGCTGCTGCTGATGATGTTGTTGCTGCTGATGATGTTGTTGCTGCTGCTGCTGATGATGATGTTGCTGCTGCTGACGTTGCTGCTGGTGCTGCTGATGATATTGCTGCTGCTGACTTTGCTGCTGGTGCTGATGATGATGTTGCTGCTGCTGGTGCTGATGATGATGTTGCTGCTGCTGCTGCTGCTGCTGATGTTGCTGTTGCTGCTGGTCTCAGCTGTTCTCCTCTTGCTGCAGCTGCAGCTGTTGCTGTCCAAGGTTCTGACCCTGCTGCTGCTGCTGCTGCGGGTCTCAGCTGTTCTCCTCTTGCTGCTGCTGCTGCTGCACCGACTCCAGTCCGAGGCACAACGCCTCCTCTTCCTGCTGCTACTGCTGCTGTCCAAGGTCCTGACCCTGCTGCTGCTGCAACGTCTTCTTCATCAGTTGTTGCTGCTCTATTAAATCCTCCTCCTCTAGTAACTCTTCTTCCTCCTGCTGCTCCTGCTGCTTGAGCCCCCGGACCAAACCGGGCAGAGCTCCGAGTCTCTTCGTCCTCCTCCTCCACTACGCCGCGGGCGTGTCTGTGCAAGTAACACGCGAGCCGGAGCAGCCTGTACGTCCGTCTGACCCAGCGACTCCGTCACAACGCGCCGTGGCCGCGTAATCGCAGGACCCCGCCACCGCTGGGACCCCCGCGGGTTCAGAGCTGAGGTTGTTTTCGCACATCCCATTAGCACGGTTGGCTCCGCACGGTGTGAAAGAAGTTCAACTGTGCGTACACGCACGCCACGCACCGCACGCACGCACGCACCCGCGGATCCAACCGAGTCCTCTAGTGCAGTGAGTTTGATGGTCTCAGCGCGGTAGGCAGTGACTCGTATCAAATAAAAATAGACCCATAGACCTACGTAGAGACTTTACACTATGAGACATCTCCTTTACCAGTGGCAAAATATATGTGATAGGGTTTTACCCTTTCAACTGGTACAAAAACTGACACCTTTATACAGGGCATCAGTTTTTTGGTACGCCTTTTGGCGTCATCTGGTCCAACACCAATGGAGACTAGGCTCTAAGAAAAGCTGTCTCGGGTGTGGACCAATCAACTTCAAGGACAGTGCATATCATCATCAGAGTGTTTCTTTTTGTTTGCATTTTGACTGCTTGTGTTGTGGTTATTGCAAAAACATGATGCCTTGTATAAAGGTGTCCGTTTTGTACCAGTTGAAAGGGTAAAAACCTATTACTATACGTACGTAGAGAGCCACAGACTCGCTCACCCACGGCATTTACACAAAGACCCGTAAACTGACGTTCGACTGTGAGTTATGATTAAACTCGGAGGTCCTCGAGTGTCGTGCGGTGATGCTCTCAGCCTGGTCCCACAATGACCGCGCGCGCGCGCGATACAAACCACGGTGGAGTAACGTTGGTTGCGGACTTAAATCGGCCCGGAGGTCCGTCTCCGATACCCTTTGGTTCTTTCCGGAAAGTCACAAGCAATCGTTATCAGGTGTGAAATCCACAGTAAGAAAATTTGAAAAAATAAAAAATGTCTTGCTGTGGATTTGACACCTGATGACGATTGCTTGTGTTGCAGTCGAACACGTCGTGATAATTTTATTGTTTTATATTTTTATTATTTTATATCCCTTCTACGTGACTTTACCGGAAAGAACCAAGAATATGGAGGGATGATGTGAAGGATTGAATGAGGAGTGACAGGTAGAATTAAGGCTCAAGGCGATGAAATTAACGAGGAGAGAGTGAGTGAACGACTGGTGAAGGAGTGAATACGTGAATGCGGAGGTGAGGAGGTGAATGAGTCCGGGTGAATGAAGAGTGAAGGAATCAATGGTGGGAGGTGTCTGTTAAGGAATGCCCCAGTAAGTGAATATAGCAGTGAATGAGTAAATCAATGAACGTTAGAGTGAATTCATTATAACGTGGAGGCGTGAGGCGGTAAATGCGGGAGACAACCAGCGAATGGATGAATGAATGAAGGAAATCATTGAATGTATGGAGAAGTGAGTGAATTAATGCTTAAAGCACGTGAATCGGGGGAGTAAACAACAAGAACGAACAGTGGATATGTGGCAATGAAAAAATGAATGAATGAAAGCGAGAGAGAGAGAGAGAGAGAGGAAGAGACGGGACACAAACCCCACAACGAACGTGACTCCCACGTCGCATCATTCGTCTAACCTCACACCCTCACTCACATGGGTTGGAGTCCCCAGTTGGGGCCTCCACTCGGCTGGTCTCCGCCCCACCTCTGTGCCGGACCCCGCTGGGTCGCGGTCTCCGTCCTCCACCCGCGAGGAGGCGCGGACGAACCGAGCGAGTTCCTCCATCCCTCGTGTCGACCTGCGGCTGTGGGGCGCCACGTGTCAACTGTATTTTAGACGAGTGTCTTATCATGGACTCTTTTCTTTTTGCCAGTATCAAAGTGTGAAAAGATAAACACGTTCAATTTGGTCTTCACCTGAGACGGCTGCTTGCGTTTGGGGCCGAAACGTCGTGAGAATTATTTTATTATGTTTTATTTGTATTATTTATTATTTCCCTTCTACGTGACTTTACCGAAAGAACCAATAAGAAAATAAACACGTTCCTTCGGAGTGGCCAGGTAGGAACTTGGTTGGACAGCGCATTTGTGCACGACAGACAGACAATAATCCCTGGTGGGCAGTGTGGAACCTGTTGCTCATACCTGTAATATGCATTGTCATATAATACTCCGTAAAGTATTTTTTTATTAGGGGGGGGCGGGGTTAATTTATATGTTTCATGTTAACCTAGAAATGCATTAATTTGTTTTATTTTTTACAAGGAATACATTTGCTTTTTTGGACAAACCGAATCACCTTTAGGCTGGGAATGTCGAAGAAACACGAGGCAAAAACATCCGCTGTTTCCTTTTCAAGGCTTCCATTTTATGAATGGAGCCACCCTCCCCCAGTTCCATTTTGTGAATGAACATCGCCCGTCTCCTCATTGGCCCGAGTCGCGGCGGTCCCCCCCCCCCCACCACTAACCCCCCCTCTACCAACCCCAACCCAGCGCTCCCATTGGTCGGCGCCCACGAGCCAATGGGAGGGCTCTGGTGGGGCGGGCCATGCACGTAGACAGACAAATAATTCCCTGGTGGGCAGTGTGGAACTGTTGTTCCTACCTGTAAAATAGTCTGCCTCAGCAGCAGACCATGCTTTCCCACCAGATGACGGACGCTTGTGTTGCGCCCGAAACGTCATGATCTATTTTATATTCTACCTACGTGACTTTACCGAAAGATTTTATTATATTATTTATTATTATTTTATATTATATTATTTTATTATGGTATTATATTATTTTATTATGTTTTATTATTATTTTATTATTTCCCTTCTACGTGACTTTACCGAAAGAACCAAAGAGTATGGATTCCTGCAGTCACGAAAGCTTCAAATCAAGAATAATAACATGAGTTTATTTTACCCTTTCTGACAATAAAACAGGAGGTGTTAGGATGTTCAAACGCCAAATAGGAAACCTTTTGCAAGGAATCAGGTCTGCATTAACCACACACAGGATGGGTGGTGAACATGCAAATAATCATGCTCCGATATTCTGTGCATTGTCTTTGGAACTGATTGGCCTACACGACAGACATTAATTTGTGGGCCTAGTCTCACCAATGTCAGACCAGAGACGCCAAACGGCGAACAGTACAAAGACAATGCCCGTATCAGATCATTTATAGCTCGGGTTGAGCAGCTATATCATGGAATCTTTTTTGCCAGTATCACTTTTTATTGCCAGAAAGGGTAAAGCCTATTCTTATTTTTTCAAATGAGTCTTTTACTTGACCAGGTGAGGCCCCACTGAGCTATGTAGCTCTCTTTCAGAAGCGACCCTGGCGATCACAGGTGATAGCTCAACGAAGTGGCTCACCATCATCGTGTGGAAATGTACATTATTCTAAAGGCGCGTTGCTTCTAAATGTGGAGGGAAACACTGGAGAACCCGGACTCACAGCAGACTAACATTGCCCATAGACTAACATTGCCCAGAGACTCATAACAGACTAACCTGCCCATAGACTAACATTGCCCATAGACTAACATTGCCCAGAGACTCACAACAGACTAACAGTCTAACACTGCCCATAGACTAACATTGCCCAGAGACTCACAACAGACTAACAGTCTAACACTGCCCATAGACTAACATTGCCCATAGACTCACAACAGACTAACAGACTAACACTGCCCATAGACTAACATTTCCCATTAAACTAACACTGCCCATAGACTACACTGCCCATAGACTAACATTGCCCTAGACCAGGGGTCGGCAACCTACGGCTCCGGAGCCGCATGCGGCTCTTACGGGCTGCTTCTTGACGATATGTACGTATGTACAGTATGTACTCAGATGCATTGCGGCTCTTGAAATACTGAATTTTTGTACCGAATTGAAAGAAATGGCTCTTCTTGTTATTTTGGCTGCCGACCCCTGCCCTAGACTAACACTGCCATAGACTAACATTGCCCATAGACTAACATTGCCCCATAGACTAACACTGCCCCTAGCACTAACACTGCCCATAGACTAACATTGCCCTAGACTACACTGCCCATAGACTAACATTGCCCATAGACTAACATTGCCCATAGACTAACACTGCCCATAGACTAACACTGCCCATAGGACTAACATTGCCATAGACTACATTGCCCATAGACTAACACTGCCCATAGACTAACACTGCCCTAGACTAACACTGCCCTAGACTAACATTGCCCATAGACTAACATTGCCCATAGACTAACATTGCCCATAGACTAACACTGCCCATAGACTAACACTGCCCATAGACTAACACTGCCCATAGACTAACATTGCCCATAGACTAACATTGCCCATAGACTAACACTGCCCTAGACTAACACTGCCCTAGACTAACATTGCCCATAGACTAACATTGCCCATAGACTAACATTGCCCATAGACTAACATTGCCCATAGACTAACACTGCCCATAGACTAACACTGCCCATAGGACTAACATTGCCCATAGACTAACATTTCCCATAGACTAACACTGCCCATAGCTAACATTGCCCATAGACTAACATTGCCCATAGACTACATTGCCCATAGACTAACTATTGCCCATAGACTAACACTGCCCATAGACTAACACTGCCCATAGACTAACACTGCCCCATAGACTAACCTTGCCCCATAGACTAACATTGCCCATAGACTAACATTGCCCTAAGACTAACCTGCCATAGACTAACACTGCCCATAGACTCACATTGCCCATAGACTCACAACAGACTAACAGACTAACACTGCCCATAGACTAACATTGCCCACAGACTAACACTGCCCATAGACTAACATTGCCCATAGACTAACATTGCCCATAGACTAACACTGCCCATAGACTAACACTGCCCATAGACTAACATTGCCCATAGACTAACATTGCCCATAGACTAACACTGCCCATAGACTAACACTGCCCTAGACTAACACTGCCCTAGACTACCTTGCCCATAGACTAACATTGCCCATAGACTAACATTGCCCATAGACTAACACTGCCCATAGACTAACACTGCCCATAGACTAACACTGCCCATAGACTAACATTGCCCATAGACTAACATTGCCCATAGACTAACACTGCCCTAGACAACACTGCCCTAGACTAACATTGCCCATAGACTAACATTGCCCATAGACTAACATTGCCCATAGACTAACATTGCCCATAGACTAACACTGCCCATAGACTAACACTGCCCATAGACTAACATTGCCCATAGACTAACATTTCCCATAGACTAACACTGCCCTAGACTAACATTGCCCATAGACTAACATTGCCCATAGACTAACATTGCCCATAGACTAACATTGCCCATAGACTAACACTGCCCATAGACTAACACTGCCCATAGACTAACACTGCCCATAGACTAACATTGCCCATAGACTAACATTGCCCATAGACTAACACTGCCCATAGACTAACACTGCCCATAGACTCACATTGCCCATAGACTCACAACAGACTAACAGACTAACACTGCCCATAGACTAACATTGCCCACAGACTAACATTGGACTAAGGAGTTGTGAGTAAACATCACGGACAGAGCTCAACAGCAGGAAGGCAACGCTCGTCGACGTTTTTGAAGAAGCTCATCACGCTTTACACACACAGAGACAAATGCTGTATACATATCGATTTAAAGCTTTCGTGACTGCAGGGATTCATCTTCTTGGTTCTTTCGGTAAAGTCACGTAGAATAGAAATAATAAAATAATTAGATTAAAACACAATATAATAATATGTTTTATTTTTATTCTTTTATTATTTCCATTCTACGTGACTTTACTGAAAGAACCAAGAAGAAAAATGCTGTATAATTTATAATACTGTTTATGATAGTGATTATTAAATAAGCATACAATGCTTTGTATTAAACGTGACAATTAGAAATTATTTATATTTTGGATATTTTTATGTTTTCACGACATCACTTCTCGTGTCATCACAGCTGCCGTCTTTACCGTAACAGTCACCATCGGTGCTATGACCGTCTAATTATATTATCATCGTCATCATCATCATGACCACCACAATCATCATCATCATTATTATCATCATCATTACCGCCTCAATCATCATCATTATAGGGACCACCACAATTATCATCACCATCATTTTTATCATCATCATAATCATCATCATCATGACCACCACAATTATCATCATCACCATCATTATTGTCATCATCATTACTGCCACGATCATCATTACCAGCACAATTATCATCATCATTACCACCACAATCATTATCATCATCATTACCACCACAATCATCATCATCATCATTACCGCTACAATCATCATCATCATTATTATCATCATCATTACCACCACAATCATCATCATCATAATCATCATCACTATCATAATCATCATCATCATGATGACCACCACAATGATCATGACCATCATCATCATTATTGTCATCATTACTACCACGATCATCATCATTACCAGCACAATCATCATTATCAGCATCACCACCACAATCATCGTCATCATCATCAACATCACCATCACCACCACCACCACGGTCTTACCTCAGCAGCGAGCTTCTTTCGGTTAATTTCGCGTTGCCGACAAGTAAGAAATCCTCTTCATGTCGCGACAAGAAGCGGAGTAATCTCACTCGCCAACGCCGCTCACGCCGACCTCATCCTGATGAACGTAACTCACGATGCCCAGTCGAGAACAATCAAAAACTCGAACTCACGATCATCACCAACAGTAAATCAAACT